CCGAAACCCTGAGCCCCGAACCCAAAGTTGCAAATCTTAACCCCTGAACCCTAAGGTTTAGGGTTTAGGGTTAATCCCAAACCCTAAACCCTGAAGTCCAAATCCTAAACCCTAATCCAGTAGCTTGCGAGGATCAACTTCGTATGCCCAACGCATGCAAGCCATGAGCCTTAATTAGTTTGGGTTTAGGGTTTTAGGGCTTAGCGATATTACTTCCATTACGGCAAAAACATATGAAAAAAACAAGCGGGACAGCAAATAGGCATGCTATATAGTTAGGGTTGACGGTAGCCTTGCTGCTGAATAGGGAATTGGGGGGATTGAAAAATGGGCTATAGGGGAGATTAGGGTTCATGGCGTGGTGTAGGGTTTACGGGGCTTTGTAGGCGCTGCTATCAAGATCCATTCCTTCATGCTATGCTAAGAGCACGGGAGCTGATCTTTGATAGCCCCAACAATGGTGTTTATTGTAAAAGCCTTAAACCCTAAACCCTAAACCGGGGGCTATTACTCAGAAGCCTACATCATGGTAACTTACTGTAAGTGTAAATTCCTTGACGGCAACCCAGTGGAATGCTATCTGGATCTTAGCGGGTTCCGCGGAGGGCGCTGCGGGTGTTTTAATGGTAGGGGAGGGGTTAGGTACGCCCCGCTCCCTAAACCCTGTTTATGGAAGCTTGAAGGCCATTCCAGGTCATAGATAGTCTAAACTCCGTAAAGGAGGGTTATATAGGCAATTATATTAGGGACATTTATAGGGTTTCTTAAAGGGGATATTAGGAGTGAAGACTATGGCTCATATGGCCCTGATATAAGCTGACTGTATGGGACCTAAATCCTAAGCCTAAACCCCTAAACCCAAAATCGGCCTTAGGTAGGGGAGTCCTCAGTTGTGAGCCTCCCTTCTAACCCTAAACCCTCAACCGTCTGTATACTGCCCTAAACCCTGAAAACCCTAAAGCCTAAACCGTGTTTATACTGGGCCCCCTCAGGGAGTCCTTCATTTATATCAGTGCTGTCGGAGGATATCAATGGCAGATTCAGACCTGAGACCTGATTAGAGACATTTTGGCGCATCACCTCACTATAGGGATATGGGGGGTTCCTATAATTAGGAGAACCCTTTTGGGGGCCTCTATGATAAGGATTATCGTATTTTGGGGTCCAAGGCAGGAAAGGTCCTCGGCCGGAAGAAATCCACAGCTCACGGCGAGGCTCGTGGGGCAGAGAAGGTCTCGGCGAGACATCGCTGAGGTCGAGCGCCGCCCCGTCGATGTAGCATTGCCCAACGGGAGGGAAAGGAGGCTGGCTGCCACGCGGGCTACCGCAAACGAGGTCTATATTGGGGTCCCCCTATCTTAGGAAATTACCATATAGGGTACAGAGGGTTTGCATAGGCCCTCAGGTTTTCTGTCCTATGAGGGTTCAAATCCTCAACCCTGCACCTTCAACCCAAGACCGTCCAGTGCCAGTCTATCCCAACCCCCTAAAATAGGGACCTAAATACTTACCAACACCTTGTATAATTATAGTATATGGTACTTCAAATGGACCTCACGGTGATATTGGTAATTATTTAGGCCCCTGTATAGTACCTCCCCCAACCACCCTAAACACTAAACCCTAAACCCAAACCTTCCCAAGCCAAAGACGTTCGAAGCCTCCCAAAGCTCCCACCCAACTCGCAGGTGGGAGTTTCCCAGGTTTGCGGTGTAGGGTAATTATGAGCTCTACAAAGCCCTCAGTCAGTCTGTAATCCCCGTTTCGTTTCCTATGATGTAGGAGCCTGCATAGTTACCCAGATTACGGTCCTAGATTCCTCGTACGAAGATGGCATGGTGTGCCTCCGAAAGAGTTGACAACGACATTAGCAATTATTTAGGCACTTACTTTAGGGTCCCTATCAACCTCTATATAGGACCAGTTTCCAGTCAATTTTTCATCGTCTTTTCCACGTGATTCTCCATTCTAAGGGTTATGTCCCCAAACTCTTCACCCTAAGCCCGAAACACTTACATTAGCGCCTATAGTGCATCCCTGCAGGGGGTTCGCAAGGGCAACTCCCCTGCGAGCACACACCATGTTGTATGTTTATCAATGCCTGAACTTTTTTAGACTGATCAAGTTCTGTTTATAAAGTACCATGCATAGATAAACGTGAACTCTGAACGTAAACCTTAGGACCCAAACCCTAAACCTTAAGACCTAAACCCTAAACCCTAAGCCCTAAACCCCAAACTCCAAACCCAAAGACCTGAGACCTAAACTCTAAGCCCTAAGACCTAAGCCCTAAACCCTAAGACCTACGCACTAAACTCTAAACCCTAGGACCTAAGCCCTAAACTCTAAGCCCTAAGACCTAAGCCCTAAACTCTAAACCCTAAGACCTAAACCCTAAGACCTAAGCCCTAAACGCCAAACTCCAAACCCAAAGACCTGAGACCTAAACTCTAAACCCTAACACCTAAGCCCTAAACCCCTAAGACCTAAACTCTAAACCCTAAGACCTAAGACCTAAGACCTAAGCCCTAAACTCTAACACCTAAGCCCTAAACGCTACAACCTAAACCCTAAGACCTAAGCCCTAATCCCTAAGACCTAAGCCCTAAATCCTAAGACCTAAGCCCTAATCCCTAAGCCCCAACAACCTTCAAACCAAGGTCATCATGTCATCCTCCTGGCTCTTCGCGCTGGCGCTGCCTGCTGCCGGGAACCCGGGCTCTCCATGTTCTTTTAGTTTAAGGTTTTGGGTGTAGGGTTCAGGGTTTTGGGTGTAGGGTTCAGGGTTTTGGGTGTAGGGTTCAGGGTTTTGGGGTTTGAGGTTCTAGGGTTTTGGGGTTTGAGGTTCTAGGGTTCAGGGTTTTGGGTTTTGGGGTTTGAGGTTCTAGGGTTTAGGGGTTTGAGGTTCTAGGGTTTTGGGGTTTGGGGTTCTAGGGTGTAGGGTTCAGGGTTTTGGGGTTTGAGGTTCTAGGGTTTAGGGGTTTGAGGTTCTAGGGTTTAGGGGTTTGAGGTTCTAGGGTTCAGGGTTTTGGGGTTTGGGGTTTGAGGTTCTAGGGTTTAGGGTTTTGGGGTTTGGGGTTTGAGGTTCTCGGGTTTAGGGTTTTGGGGTTCTAGGGTTTGAGGTTCTAGGGTTCGGGTTTTGGGGTTCTAGGGTTTAGGTTGTGGGGTTGAGGGACCCTAAACCCCTAAGCCCACAATTCCAAGGGCTTGAAGGGGCTGTATGCCATTGAAGAGGAGCATGCGGGGTTGATCGGGTGCAAGACTGGGTTGCAGGGCTTGTAAAGGGAAATATGGGTGCTATACAGGGATATGTATGGGCTGTTTAGGGATAAGGGTTTAGGGTTTAGGATTTAGGGTATAGCTGGGCTTGCAGAGTCAAAAATGGCGGCATACTAAGACTCGCAGTTGCAACTTCTTTGGCGCGGCGTGAAGGGTTTGCATCAGGTTTGTGTAGGGTCTACATGAGTTCCCATTGGATACAGGAATGGGTTTGAATGTTTGATAGAGAATTTTGATGCGCGCATACTGGATACAAAGTAGGGCCTGAGTAGCGCTCCTGAACAGCCTCTACATTTCCTTTGTTAATGAACGAGGGTGTAGCGTAAGGACCACCGTTTGCGGTGCCGTAAACTCTAAATCTCAAACCGTACAGACATGAATGATTGTCCGTTTGTGTAGGTTGGCCCTTTCATCGAGCCTTAGGGGATCCCTCAAAGAGAATCCTGAGATCATTAGAGCAATAAAGCTCGATACCCCTCATGAATCTGCAAGATCCCCTAACGGCCAAGCATACGGCACCAGTCGTTGTTGCTCTATTTTTGAGGAGGTTCTTGGAACCCGTCAATTTTTTGAATGTGCGCAGACTGCAAGGAATTCTTGGGCACTGGAGCGCCTGGCACACAACACATCGTTGAAGATTTGAGTCGAGAAGCGAGCTTGTACGATAGGGGCCATAGTGGCCGAAGCGGCTTAGATAAAGGGTTGGGGTATTAATAATTGAGAATCACATGGGAACGGACATGGAAAATCAAGTGGGCACTCGGATCCTATGGGGGCTTAGAGGGATAATGTATGAAGATTGTGATTGTAGACTTCTTGTATTATTCTGGTATGGGGTACTTCAGATAGACCTCAAAAGGATTTTGGCACTGTTTCAGGACAATCCCTGTAAACCCATATATGAACGCAGCGTCCATTTCATTCTGCATTTTGTTCTACATTTGATCCTAAACCCTAAACCCATTGCATTGCGGCTATCAAAAATGAGGCAGCGCTGAACATGGGGCACGAGCAGCTTTTCACCAAGGACTGTTGAGGGTTTAGGGTTTAGGGTTGAAATTTGGGGTTTGGGTGTAGCAGTCTTCGAAAATTTTAAAGTCATGTTCTCTATCTTTGGGTGCGTCGTTTGAGGGCTCCTGGTTTGGCCATGTTGGGTACATACCCATGTTCGAGCTCAAGATGACTTGCTGGGAAGGAGCCCAATACATGTTGAATTTAGGGTTCAGGGTTCAGGGCCCAATACACGTCAAACAAGGTAAACACCCTACATGAGCAGAGTATTGGAAGGTTGTATAATGATGACTTACTAAAATAATATCAACAAGGTATCTACCGTATCTACCAATAGATACTAGAATCCTGGATCCCTTATGTGACTCAGCATAAACCCTACACCTTGAATATAAACCCTAAACCCTAAACCCCTAAACAAATATTATTAGACTTGCTTGACTTGGCTTCAGGGTAGTCGGCCTCGGGATGGATCTCGTTCACGGTGTGGATGAAACTTCTTGCTATGATTGGGCATTTAGTGTTTAGGGTTATTTTAGGGTCTATAGGGTTTAGGGTTTAGGGCCACATACCTAAGATACCCAGCAGGGAATCTTCAACATCACAGGTGGGGGTGTTGCATCTCCTGAAAGGAAGGGTCTACTCCTAATGACAGCAGAAACCAGCATTAACCTAGATACAACTATAGATCTCTGTCATGCTCGAAGCAGGACATGGGTACTCCGGACTACAAGGCGCGTGGCTGAGTCTCTCAAGAGCTCATAAGGACGCGGTTTCAAAGAGGGTCAGACCTGTGACTGGTAAACAGCAGGAAAGCCAAGCAATTGTGCATATCTATGACAGATCTTTCCTTGGCAAGAACCCGTGACGCAGGATCGGGAGAGCCATCCTAAGCATCCCGCGTTATGACTTACGCAGGCAGATTATGAAGCACTGGTGTTATCTATGATGGAAGAAGAGACCATGTGATATTACCCAGTTGTTACTGGTTTTTGGGGGCTTTTTTTTCCTATGCAGATCATGATGGACAAGTTAACCCTAAACCCTAAACCCTAAGAAATCCGATCACCCCAGCAGCACTCCCAGGGGCTGCAGTTTTACGAGGCAGCTTCTCGCGGCACACACTTATAGCCCTCCTTAAGTAGATAGAATATGGGGTATATGGAGATCTTTTTATATTTTACCCAAAGCCATATTCCATCTACTTGAGCGGGACTATAACCTAGAAGCTTGATTCTTACCAGCAAGCACTTTCTGATGATCCTGATAGTAATATACTTATACATTTGTAGTTTAGCTTGAATTATGGAATCCTGCCTTACCCCGCCCTCGGCAAAATGGATCCCAAGCAAGGCCTGATTAGGGTTCATTTAGGGCTTCTTAGGCCTTACTTGGGGGCGGAGGAGGAAGGGGGTGGGAATGTGTATAGGATCCCATGACCGAAGCCCCAAACCCTTCTGACAATTCAGGCCTGACCCCCAAAGCCCTAAAATATTGGTGCGTATACATATATGTATGGAGCGTCTAGTTCTAAGTTGGGAGGCCTCAAACACAGAATGATGGGTCATGTAGGGGAATGGAAACATTGCCATCTACCCTAAACCCTAGGATGTGGGGAGCCCATAGTTAGGTAGCACACGGGGATGATTTTGATTTTGTTCTGTGTTGTAGAATGGAACCTTCTTGGAGGTCCACGGGACTTAGCAGTCACTTTTCTGTACATCTAACCCTACGTGCAACACCCAACTAGGGTAACCCAGTCGGATTACCAGCCCAGTTCTAAATCTTCACGAAGTCCCAAACCCTAAACCCTAAACCCTGAACCCTAAGAAGCTCCATTTATTCATAAACAGTTTTGGAGGTCTTCAAAGTACCACCCAGCTGAGCCTGAAGGGAGGCCTGCATGGTCTCCCTATACCCCGACTTTGAGACACCCTACACCCTAAACCCTTAGACCAGGTATCCCTCAGGAGGACCCCCCACCCTGTAATAGTGGTATAATAGGAATATGAGAGGACCCTACTATGATTGATCCTTATTATCCATTATAGTCACTATTACTGGGTGGGGGGTCCACCTAACCTACACAATAAACCCTTAAACCAGGTATCCCCAATATGGGGTTGCCTCAGAACAGTGATTCTGGGGATACGTAGGGACTATGTAAAGGTTATAGGGGTCCCAGAAAGGTTCATCTAGTACAGACTGCGAGAGATTGCTATATCGGTTCTGAGTAGCGAGGTCTGGAGCATCAGATCCTCAGGACTTTTATGTTTTAGGGTTTAGGGTTTAGGGTCTAAACTCCTTAAGGGGAGCTTATATAGGGGATTATATAGGGATGATGGAAGAAGAAAATGGAAACTACCATGTAGGGTTTAGGGCTTAAACTCCTTCAAGGGGGGTTATATAGGGGATTATATCGGGGACTACTACAAGGGTCATTAAGGGGGATACTAGGAGTTTAGCTTCTAGCTCATGTCATTGATGGCTTTGATTGTTGAGGGCGCCCACCAGCCGCAAGCTTTATAGGTTATACGTATTAATCGGAGGTAATTACTACTTGAACTGTAGATAGTTGGCCGACAGGTAGGCTTTTTAGGGTTGAGATATTGCTATTTCATCGACTACAAGTCTTATGGCCGGTGCCGGTTTTGGCCTTCATCTATCAAAGCCCGGAATGGAATCCTTGTAATCAAAACCCCTCCTTTCCTCTCCCACCCTCCAGCAAGAAAGGGCTGTACGATAAACCCTGGACCCCAAAACTTTACCAGGGGTAGGGCCTTAGGGATGAAGGGTGGAGCTTTCTGCATCCTAAGACAAAGTGTCGATACCAACAGAGAGTTTTTCTAAATACTCCTTAGATAGAACTATAATGAGGATCTCCCCATGATCCCCTTTCCATCCCTTTATATCTCAAAATGATCCCTAAATAGTACCTGGCAAGGAACCCCCCATAATCCCTTTTCATCCCTTCATCCATCCCTATACAGGTCTATACTAAGCATCTCCCCATGATCCCCTTGTCATCCCTTTATATCCGTAGGCTTCCTAGAGAAACTCCCATACGGGAGTTTCCCAAAATTAGGGGTACCATTTGAAGGATTCTCAGAATAAGGATTATACTATATTTGGGTCTACATGGGGGTCCCCCTATGTTGGGAAACTACCATATAAGATCTGGAGGGTAGCCTCCCTAGGGCTCCACTCCACAGCAGTGTGACCCTTCATTCGCACTATCTTGTCCAGTAAACCCCAAATTCTGTTGTTAGGGCTACCAACCCTAAGCCGCAAATGGGGGTTGTGGGCCTTTTCTTTGGAAGTTCCTGCCAGCGGATTGTAGACTTGGGCATATACAGACCCCTAATTTTTGGAGGCCCCTAATCCGAAACATGGACATGCAGGTCTCTGACGATGTCCGCACACAGCTGTACATCGTGGCGACTCTTTGCCTGGGACCCCAGAAATGGCATTGGCGGGAGATTTTACCAATTTTCTAGTCCATTTGGCATTTTGGCTTAGAGTTTAATTTCTTACTCTTAATATTAGACCCCCCGCCCAAATATTTTATTTTCCGAACATTTTAGAATATACCACAATGGGAATCGGGTTGAGGGCTTAGAGCCCTAACCCTAACTCAAAATCCATCATGGTGACCCGAGAGGGGCATGCACATCTTGGCAGTAGTGGTTTAAGCATGTAAATGGGTGGTTCCCCAAAATAGGGGTACCATGTTGGGGGTCCTTATAATGAGGATTAAAGTGTTTGCGCTCCATATTGGGTTCCCCTATTTCCGAAAATTATCAAACTAATCTTTTAAGCATGGCTCTACATCGCAGGCCGTACCGTCAGCAATGTCACTACAGCAACAAGCCTGCATTTTTGAATTCTTGTTCTGACTTTCTGGCTACCCTCAACTAAACCCTAAACCTTATGCCCCAAAACCGTCTCTTCCGCAACGTTTACTGTGACAACAACTACTACCGCTCTGCGACATACCCTTCCCCGTGTGAATTTGGAACCAAAAAACTACACAGCGAAGAATACACCTTCCAAAAAAGAGTGGACGCCCCCAAAAAGGCCCCTACAAAGAGTTCATAAGAGTTCTGTGTGCTGTTGAAGAAGGGCTATGTGGGGGTCCATTTTAGTTTTAGGGGCTTTCGCAAAGGGGGGCTAGTTGGAGGTCCATGGGACTTAGAAACTACCTACATCTGGGCTTATAACCTTACTTATAATACCCCTACCTGGCCTCACAGGAAAGAGTGAGAAGCTCAGTCATGAGTAGCTACTAAGCCCCACGGACCTTACACCCTAAACTCTATGCCCGAAGCCCTGAGCCCTGAACACGTAAATCCCTAAACCTTAAACCCCGGACCCCTAAACCCTAAACCTAAATCCTACTTTCCCTCGGATACCACAGGCGGTGTGTGCCTGACGGCCTCCCTGGTGTTCTTCTGGACTTCCACACCCAGCAGCAGGCATCACCATGAGCTTTCCGGGACACCCCTTTGAAGGGTTTGGGGGTTCAGGGTTTAGTTCCCCTTTAATTAAGGGTTTCGGGGTTGACTTTTTTTGTTGCTTAGGGCTTAGTGTTGAGGGTTTAGAGTAAGGGATTGGGGTGTCTTTCAGGGATCGCGGGGAGAGTTTAGGGCTTTGCGGCGGGTGCTGCCTAAGAGGTCCCAAAGGCAGACCTTCCCCTCTGTTAAGCCGATGGTATCTTGGGGCTCAACTTCTTGGGAGTCCTGTGAAACTTCTGAGCCTGGGACTATAGATGGGGACCTGTGATCTTTGGGTAGAGATGGCATGGTGCGGTTAGGGTTTAGGGTTTAGGGTTTGGGTTCACAAGGCAGCATGGTTCCAGTATTCCAGCAGAATTTGGAATGCAAGAGAAAGACATCCGGCCTGAGCAAATTGTGATGGCACTTCGCCTCGAATAGGAGTTCAAACCGAACATATGTACTATAGTAGCTTCCATTTTCTTTTCCATTATCCCAATATTACCCCAATATAACCCTAATATTACCCCCAATATCATTGTCGGAATGGCCAAATTGCTATCCGGGGCTTTGGGATGATAGTCCCCCTTAAGTAGATAGAACATGGAAGTGACCAACATCAAAAAGACGGGCCCATATGCTCCGTATTCTAACTACTGAAGGGGGACGGTATGTAACATAGCCAGAGTTGAAACCCTAAACTGAAATCCTTAACACTGTGGGCTAGTAGACCCTGAAATTCCCTAGTGGGGCCCTATTAAGGGTAGATGAAGGTACCCTTAAGGTCTAATAGCCCATAGTGGTATCCAGAAAGCATGATTGCAACTAGGACAGTAGGTTTGAGGCTGCCCAACTTTCACAGTGCTCATGAGGGATGGGGGAGCCAGGGTTTAGGGTTCAGGGTTTAGGCTTTAGGCTTGAGGGTTCAGAGCTTTGTAGACCCTAAATTCCAAACTCTATTCAAGATGGAGGGTGTGCAGGTTGGGGTTCCAGAGCTCAACGTGGAACTAGACTGGTGTGGATCTAGGCTCTGGGGCTCAGGCGATTTCCAATAGTCTTCTCCAACAATCTTCATTGAATTATGGTATAATGGCCAGTTCATATAACTATTTAGGCCGCAATCGCAGTAGTCTTGCAGTTCGAGTCTAAGGCGCCCAAGCCGCTACCAAGAGGAATGTATGCTGAGCTGGGCTGCTGCTAAGGAAAGGAAGCTACTACAATCTGGGTATATTGTAACTGATTGGGTCTCCTCATTATAGTAACTTAATTACGCTCCTTAACAGCAATCCAGTAAGGCTTCCTCTGCGAATGTTTATATTGAGGATGTCTTGCAGATGAGGGGGTTCAAGATCATGGTCGTTCTTTGTGGGTATTCTAAATATTAGGGGCCGTATAACAATGGGCACCCCAACAAGGTCCATCAATTTTAACAAACTACCAATGACACTCCTTCTTCTAAATCCTTCTCTACAATCAATAGGCAAGTTTCAAACTGGCCTCAGTCACAGCTCATTCTACTTCTTTCCATTCCGAACGCTGCAGGGACAGTGAGGTGAAATGCAACTTCCAGATGGGAGTTGCTCCTATGGTGATGATTTTCACTGCCACGCACGCTTGAGGCGATTCAAATCGTGATCGTCATGTCCGAGAGACATATAGACTGGTAGCAGAAAGAGGCGTTTTCTACTTGCAGCCTTTGTTGGTTCAAACTTTCAATGACTACTGTGTGAAGTTAGTCAATGGTAGTAACGCTTTCAGCGCAAGGGGGCGGCACGTGGGTAAAGAGCGGCCTGTGCCCCTTCAGCTCCTTGCACTGGAGGGCCCTAAACCCTAAACCTTGTAGCCAAACAGTCTCGAGTTTCATCAGTGGTGCAGGGTAAACCCTAAATACTACACCCTAAGCCCTATAACCTAAACTCCAATGAACCTTCCAACCTCTAAGTGGTAGAAGGCCGGAGAAGGAAGTGGAAGCTGAAGCTCAGCCAGCTGAGGCTTTCAATGTTACGGAGTAGGGCTTAAGGTTTAGGGTTCCCCATTAGGGTTTAGGTTTTAGAGTTTAGGGTTCCGCATGAGGGATTAGGTTTTAGAGTTTAGGGATTAGGGTTTAGGGTTTATGGAGTAGGGTTTAGCAGCTAGTGTTTGGGGATTCGGGTTAAGGGTTTGCATGGGTTCCCGTGCTACCCCCCCCTATACTTCCTCCCCTAGGTTCCCGTTACTTAACCAGATTAGCCCCTAGCCTGAATTACCGGCGGAAAGAGTGGTAGCAATTGGGGTATTATACTCGTCTTCATTTCTTGGGGGCTCCAATTCAGGATCTCCAGTTTAGCATCTCTGCGGGGGTCTAAGTCAAAGTTCGTTACTGCAAATGTGGTATGGGTGGAGGGTTGAGGATGTAGGGCGCCCAGGGTTTGGGAGCTTTAGGTGGATGGGTTCGGGGCTTTTCGGGTTTTGGAATTTACCCTTGAGTCCTAGTAATTGTGTTTTTTCTCTGGGATGGGGGGGGGGAGGTTGAGCTATAGCGCTTTGGCAGAAGCTGCAGCAACTAAGAGGCTCGTTTTTGTGGATACTGTCAGAGAAGCGGGAAATCGGGTGGTTCCCCATTGAGGGCTATGACCTTTCTTAGGACCTCCTAGACCGAGCAGGGTATGTATGGTGTCTCTGGAAGATTGATGAATGCTGAAGACGATTTTTGTGCAGCCCATATAAACAAATGATGAATAAAGCATCTGTATATATATATATATACCTACACACATATGTATATATATATATCTGTCTATGTACCTAGAAAACTATGCATCACACGCCATCCAGGGAGTTTTCATGTCGAAGCAGAGCTTTGAGCTTCATAGGGATAATGTAGGCAAGATGCGATAATCTATATCATTGGGCTTACTCGTTATGGTTTAGGGTCTGTTCTAGACCCTAAGGTCTGCGGAGCTTGGCGGGTATCATGGTATAGGGATCCGCTTCAGGGTTCAGGGTTTAGGGGTTTGTGGTTTAGCAGGACCCCTTGCAAGCGCTTCCTCTGCTGCAGCAAGAGTATTGGAACCTCAAGGTTTCTATGTATCTACAGACATAACTAGTAACTAGTATCGTAACCCTAAGGAACCCCTGACACTAAACCCCAATCCCCATACCCTAACCAAAAATCCGAAACCCTAAAGCTTAACTCCTGAAGCTTAAGCTCCAGACTCAGTTTCTTGGGCCATGAGCCCTGGGACCCCCAGGTTTTTCTGCCCTGCAGAAATAAAACAAGTTGACAGCTGCCAGGAGGTTGATGCGGAGGCCCAGCCCGTTGAGGCGTGCTTTTCAGGATTTGCAAAACTGTTCAGTACAGGGCGCGTGGGGCTGGCGCACATGATAGGACAGATTTCTACTACAGATTCAGCTAGGCACATGTAAGGAATTTTTACGCTAGGTACTAGTGTCCAGTTCAAATTTTCTGGCCGGTTGTAGAGGATGGTTGAGGGAACCCGGCTGAGGATGGCTTGAAGCAAAGCATTCGGTACTTGTCTGGGTTGCTGTTAAGGAACTTAAGTCACTATAATGAGGGTATACAGGGGGTAATTATTATACTTATATAGGGTATATAGGAATATATAGGGTTTAGGGTTTAGGAGCTTAGTTTAAGTTACCATCTTGGGGAAACCGTATTAATTGCTATATATACCCAATATGGTAACTTGATCTAAGTTCCTTAACCGCAACCTAGTTGTTTGGGATCGTCTGATGAAATTTTCAATGAGGAGTACACAGCAACATGTTCTCAACAGTATCCCAATGATGCTTCCAAACCTAGTTGTTGGACTAGTCATCCTGCTTGTCGACGTGTAGATCAACTTATCGGTGTTCAGTTTTAAGAGTTAGAGTGATTCTACCAATCAACACAGTTTTGCTGGTGACTGGAACAGTCAGGTCGAGGTCTCACTAATGAAGCAAGGTTTGAGTTACAACGGCTGGGATAGTACTGATTGAAACTTCTAAATCCCTAAACCCAAAACCCCAAACCCTAATTGAAAGCCTGAACAACTTAGCTAATGAGTCATGTTAGGAACTCTGAGAGGCATTGGGTGGCGTTTAACTCCCTCACAATATGAACCTGTAGACCTCTACCAGAGTACGAAGCTTGGATCTACATCCTTCCGCGCCCTAATCACGTTCATGACAGTGGCCATATATAGGGATACTGTTGGCATTTAAAAATCCTGCGTGGCCGCGGTATAACATGATTCCCAAGGATTTAGGGTATTTGGGTCATGCAGGAGTTTTAGTATCAGCCGTAGTACCTGCAACGGCGACTCGGTGGTAAATAGCAGTGACGAGAAGGTCCGAGGTAAGCTTGGACATCCGCTTCTCTGAAGTAGCAGTTTGGGTCTAGCGTTCAGGTTTCAAGGTTTAGGATTCCACCCCGCACCCCCCAAGCAAACAATATATCCCCGCACATTTCATGGTGTTATGTTGGGAACATGTTTTTAGCATTTTCTGTCACTAGGGACGCAGGATTAAGCAATCCGGCCAAGAGGATTTTGAAAACCAAGGCAAAGAGTGGCGGTTCTCCAAGCCATTCTTGTAGAATCCTAAAGGGGGACTCCACCATCGCCTCATAGTTCCTGCATGCCCTAAGGCGTAAACTCAAACCCTAGGCCCTAAAGGTTTTAAAATTTAGGGTGTAGGGTCTAGGGTTTACGGTTTAGGGTTTACGGTTAGCCCTGAACCCTAAGCACCCCATTTCAAAAGACCAACCTCCGACCCCCAACCTAGTTGGTTTCTTGAAAGTTTCCTGTTGGGTTTGGGGGTTTAGGGTTTAGGGTTTCAATAATTGTCCCAATAATGGAGAATTACAAAGAGATGAACATCAACAATGACATGGAAACTGGTAGTATGTATGGGATTCAGGGAAACGTATCAAGATTATGGTTCCAGATTCCTCGTATGGGGTACTTCAGCAAACTCTGAAAATGATGTTGGTCACTCCTTAGGCCGCTACACTATTTGGGGTTTAGAGTTCGGGGTTTGGGATTTAAAATGTCGGGTTGCGCAATAGGGTTTAGGGTTCAGTGTTGGCTTTGCGAGGCTTCTCCCTGAACCACAACCCCAACAGCGCATATTTCAGACAATCCTTATGATAGGAACCAATAAAGACGTCCCCCTAATTTTAGGAGACCTGCTTTTATTGTTGGCGGGATTTCATGGCTTTGCACCTTAGGCCGAGCCTGCCCTTCAAGACGAAGCCTTGAAATCCCTGAAAGACAGCACCCAGCAAGGCCAATATGCCCTAACTTCAGTCTGGGAGTTGATCTACAGGTCCTTTGGGGCGCTCAGTTTTTCTTGATGCTCAGCCGAGTGCTTGTTCCCCAGGCGACTTCAGTTGTTAAGCTACTTGGTCCTGCTTCTTCCTAAGCCCTCGACCCGTAATGGTGTCGCGCGCAGCATCTGATCCTGCAAGCAATATGATGGGAACGGAGTGTGAGGCCGTGTATCACCAGCTGTTACACGGGGTAACCTAAGGTTCAATTTTTGGTGCTGGTTAGTGACGGTCAGTTTATACATTACTTGTGCAGCTTGGGGAACCCTAGACCCTAGACGAACAAATCTTTACAACATCATTTTCTGGAATCTTGGACGATGCCAGCTCGACATCCAACACCCTGAGCCATGAACATTCCCCAACAGTTCAGCAAGCCCCACCTCCTCTGGTAATGGAGGTTCCGACTTTGGTACCAGTTTTTGCATGCCCATGTCTGTATAGGAGGTAGCCCTGGCCGAAATGCAGCTCGGCCTGAGCCTGTCAGGCACGCGGCACATCTCTGGAGGACTACGAGGACCAGCATTTTGGGTTATATTGTGATAGTGGAAAAGAAAATGGAAACTACAGGGATTGTAGGGATTATATAAGGGTTATATAGGGATGATAGGGTACATACCGGGGTTTAGCTTCAGCATTTCAATTCTCCTAGTCTTGCCTTTTTTTAGTAATTGGCTGGGAGTCCTGCAGTAGGAATCCCCAAAACTCTAACCCCTAAACAGAAAGTCCCGAATTACCCCTATACACCCACATGTAATCCCAGCTTCCATTTGTAATCATTTTCTGTGCCAATTATTAAGTGGCAACATACCTAGACCCTATAAAATCCTTCTATACTCTACATAATCCTTATACAACCCTATCTATCCCTTCAAAGGGACGCCTAATATTCCCAAACCCCATGTAATTCCTCTATAAGTTTTAGATAACCCTACAAATCCCTTGAAAGGTGCCCCTGAAAACCCTAAACCCTCATTCCTGAGCCCCAAATCTTCAGACAGGACCTGGTGCAGCTGATGCTCCAGAAGGCCATGCAGAGTCTGGGGCCAAAGGCGGCCAAGGGCGTCCAGGCCACCCACTGTTACCACTACCAGAGTTAAGGGCTTAGGGCTTAGGGTTTAGAGTTTAGGGTCTAGGGTAGGGTCTAGGGTTTACGGCGTAGAGTTAAGGGGTTAGGGTGTAGGGTGTGGGGTTTAGGGTCTATAGGGTTTAGCGTTGCCACCTGCAACGCAATCCGGGGCCTTCTGTTACTACTACTACTACTACTATTACTACTACTACTACTACTAGTACTACTAGTACTACTAGTACTACTAGTACTACTAGTACTACTAGTACTACTACTGCTACTACTACTACTACTACTACTGCGACTACTACTACTACTACTACTCCTACTACTAGCATGATGGTATGACTGTTCTCGTTATTGTTGTCAGTTCTCATTCATGCTAGTGTCATTATTACTAGTATTGGTATTCCAATTTTTCGTACTGCCGTTATTCATGTTTTTTGCTACTATTCATGCTGGGCTTTACGGTTGAGGGGTAGGGGTTCGGGGGTTTGGGGTTCAGGAATTTCGGGTTTTGAATTTCGGGGTTCAAGTTTCAGCGGTCTAGGGTCATACCCTGCAGGGTTTGAGGTTTTCGGTTTCAGGGCTTGCACGAGGCCTTAAACCCTAGACCTCAAGCCCTAAACCCTCAGCCTTTACCGTAAACCCTAAGCCCTAAACCCTAAACCTTTTAACCCCGGGTTTAGGGTTTAGGGGTTAGAGTTGATGGGTCTCAGCTCAAGGCATGCGCATATGTAGCTACCCTCCAACAAATAAAACATTGAAACCCTAATATGGGTTCTTCCTATAGGTAGGGTATTCCTTGTAGGCCTCCTGGTGTGTGTGGTGATGCGCTATACAAGTGTTGTATGTTGTAAGGAGTTTTTGTGTGAGGGGTTCAGGGTTAAGGCGCGGCGCATAACCAGAATCAATCGAATCCTAGGGGAATGAGGGGCTTAAGAAAAGTTACTCGTATCATCGAATCTAAAACTACATGTGTCATTTTGTTCCTAAAGTGGCCTAACCCTAAACCCTAAACCTTCTACAATCCAGCATCCTAGCAATTCAAGTCAAGACTCTTTTTGTTGCATTCATCTGTAGTATGGAATGCTAGCCCATTGATTGTGCTATGGTTTACTAGCCCACTAAGTGTGTTATGGTTTCTTGTGTTGTGCTAGGTCTAGGCTGTTCAGAAATGGGAGCCGAGAACCACCATGGCACGCTACACTCATCCCTCAACCCGAAGAAGGCCTAATCGAGTTGCATGCGTTGGGCTCTTACAGCTCTGAAGCTTTGGACTGTAAATCCTAAACCCAACACCCAATCCTAAGCCTTGAGCCTAGAGACTCGAACGGTTCACTTGTGGGGGTAAGACCTTGCTTAAGCTGGTTTCTTGGGGATGGGTGTAGGCCCCGTCGAGTCAAGACACACCACATCCTAAACAGGGCATCTTAAGCTATGGACCCCTTGCCGAGGGTCACCCAAGTAGTTCAAGACATACAGGGTGAACCCCAGTGTGTTCCGAAAGTATTCAGGTGAAGACAATCATCACTGACAAGTTCACCTCTCTGGCAGACAAAGCAAAGGCAAGAGCATCTTTTGGGCCATTAAGTTGAGGGCTGTGTTGGAAGTTATTGAAAATGGAAATCTTCAAGGGAGACTCTTATTATCTGGCCCCCAAATCATCAGAGGCATATTTTGTTGAGAAGCTGCCGTTTTAGTGGCTATCTGATTTGGTCTTTCATGTTTGAGAGTTCAAGGACGTAGAGCGGCTTCAAGACAGGGTATCTGATGGAAGCCTAAACCCCACAGTTTGGGGTTTAGGGTTTATCATCAAAATCACGGCTCACCAGTTGGGATATCCGGGTTTCGAAGCGAGAGGAGGGATCGAGGTCCAAAGGCCCGTGATTTGAGGCAATGATGCTTCAGAGACAAGGCAAAGCCATGTTTCTTGCTGGGCGTAAACATTAGGCAAACAAAAAGTCAATAAGCCCTAAACCCTAAACCCCATATTGGTCTTAGCAGAGTGCCGGTCCGATGGCCGTGCGATAGTCATCCAACAGTGAACCTTCTTCCCTGAGCTGGAAACCCTAAATGTCTCTATCACCCCTTTAGTGGAATGCCTGACCACGTATCCCAACTGCTCCAAGGGCACCAAGTTCGTCATTTAAACCTTGAACCCTACACCCTAAACCCTCAGCCAAAAAGAAACCTGCAGGCCTTTGTGATGACAGAGCTGACTGATGGGGTGGGCTCCGTGGCCCGTGCGCTGGAGATGGAGGACACTTGTTTGGGGTTCATGAGTCACGGTCTGGGGTTCAGGGTGATGCTTTAGGGTTAGGTGTTCGGTGTTTCTGCTTGTGGGTTAGCGTTTAGGTTAAGGGTCTAGGATTGTGGGCCCGACGCCCTAAACCCTAATTTAGGATGTAGGATTCAGGTCTAGGGTTCAGGTTTCAGGGAGTGGTCACGCGATGTCATTTCGCGGGGTGTGAAGACCTTGCTTTAGGATGTAGGGTTCAGGGAATAGAGAGGGGGTATATAGGCTTATATACAGAGTATGTAGAACTTTGAGCTTTGGAAGTTAGAGTCTGGGCAACCAAGTTGAAGGAGCGGGGAAAAGAGCAATCTCTTACACTCCCCAGGGTTTAGGGTTAGGGGCTTAGGGTCTAGGGGTTTTAGGGGTTTAGGGGTCTTAGGGTCACGCTCCTCGTGCAAGGCTCCTGGAGGATGAAAACGGTAAAGTCGGGCTTGACCTAAACCCTAAACCCTAAATAGTAGTTTCCATCTTATTTTCCATTATCCCAATATGAGCTATAGTCTAAACTCCTTAACAGGGGTTGTATAGGGGATTATATAGGGGACTCCTTGAGGGGTTATTAAGGGGGATACTAGGAGTTTAGACTATAGCTCATATAACCCCAATATAACCCTAACATGACCCCAATGCAGATCTGATTTGGGAAAGCTCGCAGCCCTAAACCTGAAATCCTAAACCTGGAAGGTTTAGGGCTTAGGGTTTAGGGTTTGGGATTTAGGGTTCAGGGCTTAGGATCTAGGGTTTGGGGTTTAGGGTAAACCCTAAATCCTCAACCCTTAACCCCAAATTAACCTGACACCCTAAACCCCAAACCCTGAACCCTCAACCGTGGTGGTTGACTCAAGACCGCTGTATGGTCCCCCTTAAGTAGATCGAATATGGCTTCGGGTATCTTATAATAAGATCCCCATATACCCTATGTATTCTATCTACTTAAGGGGCCTATATTCTACTTAAGGCGGACTGTAGCCAGAGCAGAGACTTGGCTCTGGCTCTGGAGTGGACTTGGGAATTCTTCCCGATGCTTGAGGGAGGGATGGTGGCGGAGTGGATCCCTACAACAAGGTTTAGGGGTTAGGGTTTAGGCATTAGAGTTCAGGGCTTAGGGTTTAGGGTTTGGGCATTAGGGTTCAGGGTTTAGGGGTTAGGGTTTAGGCATTAGGGTTCAGGGTTTAGGGGTTAGGGTTTAGGCATTAGGGTTTAGGTATAGGGTTTATGGTTTAGGGTTCAGGGTCTAGGGTGGTTTAGGGTTTGAGATGGTTTAGGGTTTAGGGTGGCTTAGTGTGTAGGGTTTATGGTATACCCCCACAACCCTGAACCCCCCAGATACCCCGAACCCTAAACCGCTCTGCGCTGGTTTTACTATTTGCTCCCCCGACTCCTGCTTAGCACCGGTAAGAATCGATTTGGCTCCTGCAATGGTTTGAATCTAGGCAGGGGTGTCTCAAAACATAGGGACCCCAGAGAAAACATATGTGGGGGGATTGATCTGAAGGTCCTTGGGAATGTAAAAGGGGATCCTGTAGATCTATAGGGAAGCATGTAAGGGGAAACTTTTCCAGAATGGCCATACTGGGAGCAGGAGTTTCATCAACTAATATATAGGGTTTATCACAAGACTAAGGGGGACCTCCTTAGGGGTTGCAGAAGGATCAGTTTGAATAACTCGCAGCCAGAGACATATCCAGGTCATGGAGAGGGCCCGCTCAAAGGGGTTAGTAAGGATTATGGAAGGATATAGAGGGTGTAGGACACTGAAAAACTTGGATCCAATGGGATTGGTAGGAAAAAGCTCACAATTCTGACAGCTCGAATCGAAGCCTGACCCTAAACTGAACCAGGCGCAAACCTCCAATCGTGCAGCCAGTACATCATGGGTCCCCCAACCCTGCCATCCTACCCCCGTGATGTGGGGACACTTAGGGCTAACTCAGGCTTAGTAAAGGGGAATCCAGAGAGGTTGTGTGGGGTAGTACGGGCCAGCACGATGTTCTTCTCGTATCTCAGGTAGTAAGCCCCAAAGCATGTTGATTGTAGTGTACAGAAAGTGGAAGCCCTAGTATCTGGGTTTCTACCAACCCCTACAACACTACAGTCACTGGATGCTTGTTTTGTATTACCCTAAATTTTAGAGAAATGTTTGGGGCCGTATTCTGCTGGAGACCCAAACAGGCCCATAATTTTGAGAAGCTACCAATTGTTGCAGGAGTTCATGGTACTTCTGGACGAGGCTTGGCCCCTCCTCTTTCAGGGGTGTAGGACATGGGCAGGTACAACCTTGATGCTCTTGAATTACGGTTTGCTGTATGGTGGAGGGTTTGAAGAGGTTCCTTCAAGAAAAGAGGGATAGATCGTACTGTCGTGCAAGGCGCGATGCAGTTTGTTTGGCTGGTTTGGAGTGCAGCACATGCGGAGAGGACAGCCGGATTCTGGGGGTCCGCATCAGGGATTATGTAGAGGATGTTTGCGAAACATCCATTAAGCCGTCTTCATCATTCTTCTTGGTTTTTGTGTGTTCATATTGCTGCGAGTGCGAGGGCACCCCCGATGCCAAAACCCAATGCCTGGTACCCCAAACCCGAAGCCCTGAACCTTAAGCCCCAACATCTGAACCTTAAGCCCTAAACCTTTAACCCTAAACGCGGAAGCCTGAACCTTAAACCCTTATCCCTGAACCTTTCATCCTAATTCCTACTCAAGCCTTCAACCTATCACAAGTACATCCCCTGATGCAGGTTCTAGACCCTAAACCTAAAACCCTGAACTCCAACCCTGAAGCACTAGAACCTTGAACTTTCAACCCGAAATCCCAAACCCAAAAACTTGAATCCTAGGCCTGAAGCTCCAATCCTGAACCTTTAGGTAGGTAGGTAGGTAGGTAGCTGGGTAGGTATGCGTGTGTGTATGTACATATGTGTATGTATATCAGTACTGTTACATGTGCATGGGGTTGTTCACTGGGGAACCCCTTAACTCTGAGCCCCAAGCCCCGAGCCCCAAACCCTAAGGCCTACAGCCTGAAGCTTGATCCCATTCTCTGTAAAGCCTAAGCCCTAAACCCTACATGTACCCTAAACCTTGAATCCCAAATATACCCTAGACCCTCAATGTACCCTAAACCCTAAATATATGTACCTCATACCACAAGCAAACCATAAACCCTAAAACCTAAACATGCCCCTAAGCCCTAAATATACCTTAAACCTTAAATACATCCCGAACTTGAAATATATGTACTCTAAACCGTAAATAAACCCTAGACCCTGAATGAACACTAAACCCTATAAGCCAAAATACATCCCGAACCCTAAAACCCTAAAGTATATGTCCCCCCCGCAACCCTTTCCCCCCCAACCAATGCACACCAACCCCTAAATCAACTAAAGCAAAAATTTAAGAAACTCTAGACCCTAAGCCCAGAACATGCTCTAAGCCCTAAGCTCTAAACCCTTAACCCTAAGCCCCCTTAAGCCATAAATATAATTACCCTAAACCCTAGATAAACCCTAAACCCTACACCTTGTATATACCCGAAAACCAAAGCCCTAAACCCTAAACCCTAAAACCTAAAGCCTAAACCCTAAAACCTGAACTGTAAGCCTTAAACCCTAAACCTTATATATACATGCAAACCTAAACCCTCAACTGTAAAGCCTAAAGCCTAAACCTTAAAACCTGAACTCTAAGCCCTAAACCCTAAATGAACCCTAATCCCTACACCTTATATATACACGAAAATCAAAACCCTGAACCCTAAAACCTAAAAACTAAAGCCTAAACCCTAAAACCTGAACACTAAGCCCTAAACCCTGAATAAATCCTAAACCCTACACTTTATATAAACCCGAAAACCAAAACACTAACTCTAAAACCTAAAGCCTAAAGCCTAAGCCCTAAAACCTGAACTCTAAGCCCTAAACCCTACACTTTATATATACCCGAAAACATGAAAAACTTTAAAACCTAAAGCCTAAATCCTAAAACCTGAACTCTAAAGCCTAAACCCTAAATAAACCCTAAACCCTACACCTTA